TATAAAAAAGGGAAAATTCCTTTCCCACAGCAGCGCCAATGTAGCCCACCATAGCATCCTCTCCATTCAAATGGAAGGTACTCTGAAACAGGTAGGTCTTTCAGCCAGTCCTCTGGTCTGTTAGAAATTGTGACCCTCTCATTGCCTGTGGAGAGCATTCCATTGGAGCAGGGTGGAAGCAGAATAGGCCCTTCTTTGGGTCCCAGCCAGTGAGACTTTCTTAAGGAAGTTCCACTTGCTTGGATCTCAAGTTGTAGGTTGGACAGTAAAGGGTCAAGACAGTCCTTAAGGCCACTTCAGGCTTTACAGATTAAAAACAACATATCTTGTTGGGCTTGGAAATATTGCAAGCCAAAGTAGTTGGCATAACACCAGCTTGATAAGCTCACAGTGGCACATCCAGTAATGACTTAAGATGCTGCATTCTGTACTTTCAAAACTGTCCTTGAGGAAGAGTGTTTTACAGAATTAAAGTCTGGATGTTACTAATATGTCTGTAGCTAGCAATGTTTATGTTCTCCAGAAAAGGGTGCAATGGAAGAACAAACCCCAGTAGGAGTCATTTATTTTATTTATTTATTTAAATTTATAACCCACCCTCCCCGCGAACAGGCTCAGGGCAGCGTACAGATAGGGCCAATGCCCAATACATAAAACATTAAAACTGCATTTTAAAAACATTCAGTACAACATAAGTGCTCTCCACAGCAACTAACAAGGGAACAGATGACGTCATCAGGATGGTATCCTTAGTGGCCACAGCTTCACACAGTACCACCATTTTTGCGCTCACGGCGAGTTGGTAATAAGGGCTAGGCCACATAGTAATAGTCATAGACAGATGGTAACAGTCTTGGTGGCTCCTACTCAAATGCCTGGTGGAAGAGCTCCATCTTGCAGGCCCTGCAGAACTGTCGCAGGGCCCAGATCTCCTCTGGGAGCTCATTCCACCAGGTAGGTAGCCGCCCCCCCGAAAAAGCCCTAGCCCTAGTCGCCGCTAGTCTGGCCTCTTTGGGACCTGGAACCACCAGGAGATTTTAGTCCTGGACCGTAGTGCTCGTTGGGGAACATATGGGGAGAGGCGGTCCCGTAGGTATGTTGGACCCTGGCCATCTAGGGCTTTAAAAGTAAGAGAATTGGTGCTTCGATGAGGGACCACCAAGGAAGATGCTGCAGAAGAGGACAATGGCAAACCATCTCTGCTTCTCACTTGCCTTGAAAGTCCTCTGCTGGGGTTGCCGTAAGTTGGTTGTGACTTGATGGCACATATGTACACACACACAAATTCTTACACTAAGGCATTCCATGTAAGAGAAATGAACTGTAACTACTCCCGCATGCCAATTCTGAACACGTTTACTGAGAAGCAAATATCACTGGGAATAGATGAGATTTACTTCTGAGTAGGTAAAGTATAAGGTCACCGTTTAAATATTTTCAAAGCTTTCTTAATTTAACAATATTGGTTTAAAAAAATCACAGATAGGGGTGGAAGAGGGGAAGCAATTCACTCACAACTGTTACCTACTGTGCATGTGGAAAGTCCAGAATCTTCAGAAGCAACTCTTAAGCCATTTTCCAGGCATGACACCTTTGTCTCAGGAACATTGACGGCAATCTGGGGTACTTCTTTGGTAGCTGTGCATTTGCTTCTTCCAAGATGTACAAACTGCTTCACGGAGCTCCGCGTGAAGAGGGGGCCCAACGAAGGCCACAGGAAGTGCCTGCCGGCTCGGCAACCCATTGATGCGGCGGCGGCGGCTGCCGCCATATCACTGCAAAGATGGCTGGCTGAGACGCTCGGACTCTAAACTGGCAAACTTGATGCATGGTTGATGGCATAAATTGGTCTCAAATATTTTAAATGTAGCTGGAAGATAGAACCTTTCTTTCAAGGATGGTATTGAAAGACTGGAGCTAATATATTAAGACTGTATTGGACACAATTTACTCTCTCTTGTATCTTCACAGATTATCAAATTATGTGTGTATTTATGGCTATTGTTGGTTGCCGTCTTGGACCTCCAGAGGAACTGGTTGGTCACTTTCTGAGACAGAATGCTGGGCTAGATGGACCTCTGGTGTTATCCAGCAGGGCTTTGCTTATATTTTTATGTATCTCAAAAGATGACACAGTTCTGACTTTCACCAAAATTTCATAACTGGTTGATGGAAAGAATAAAACCTGACTCCAGTAGCAAGTTATTGGAATAGTGTTACTGTAATACACTGCAAGTTGTTTGTAGGTATTTGTCAAATTTGTATGCTGTGCTAACCATGCAGTAAAATAGCTCTAGCAATTCAAACTGTTTTTCTTAGATATCTTGTGCCCCCCTCCCCCCCATTCCTTCTTGGCATCTGAAATTTACCTTAAAATATGGTGATTAGGTGATATGTATAAGTTGCAAGGACCAGTTTTAAGGACTTTATATTGCATGTCAGTTCACGTCCAGGCTCAGTTCAACTGCTGGATTATTACCTGTGAAGCTTTTCTCAGTTCAGGACTAGCAGACCCCGTAGGGCATATCATCATGAGTGAGTGTGCCCGCCAACTAAGTTCCTCAGAGCCCATTTCTTTGTTACCCCATTTTCACAGGTTAAACTGCTGAACACCAGATTCACAGGCTTTTCTGTAGTGGCACCCAAGCGCTAGTACTCACTCCCTACAGGAGCTCAGCTGGTGCCAAAGGTACAAGCTTATAGGCTCTAAGTTAGTGTCCGCTGACGCCATGGTGCCCGTTGACCTGGTTACCTGCCTAGTAGTTTTAGAAAGTGGGCAGGGCCCGGCTGTGCTTTTGCCCAGCATGGCTTCTGATTATCAGCTGTGCATATTTTAAAAAAGTCACTTCAATGGTAGCTTCCATCCCAGCACAGAACTCTTGCACTGTGTGACTAAAGGTAAGCTCTGTGTATACAGAGTATATATAATATGTTCATTTTAAAAGGCATCCTAGTTAAATAGAGTTTCTGCCTGAAATGTTGAAAAGTTACTATTAGAGTTATGTATTGAACCCGCCCTGATATTTTGTGGGTAGCTTTGTCTCCTGTGGCAGCTATTTTGAAGTTGCACCCACCAGCCCATGTAAGAATTCCAAAGATCCCTGCTGGTTGAGGACCCCTGCTCTAGGTGAAGACATTTGGATTCCCCTGGACCTTTTAGGTCTTCTTCCCCTTTGGAGTGTTGTTACAAGTTCTGTCTGATTGTCCTGCTCCTATCCCATGGTTCTTCTAATATACTTCCCCTGGCTTTATGGCGGTTGTGCTAGACTTTTAAGAGCTTCCTGGATTTACAACTCGCACTGTTTTGAATAGTTTTATTACATTTTCCTGTTTGCTGCTGTCTTTATTCTTTTTGTATTTATTGTTTTACTGCGTTTAGAATTTTTATTATTTGTAAGTTGCCTTGCAGGCATTTACATTGGATAGGTTGGAGCAGGGGGTACGCATTGTAAATAAGTCGTAATAGACAAATCTCGTACAAAGTCTGGGCAGCTACCAGTAAGATTCATTCTAGTTATGCATAGGAAATTTGAGAACCCCTTTTAAAGGCCTGAATTTGTGTGTTTATAACCAGGGTGGTACTTCAACTTGCTGTCCAACCAGTAGTTTATGGATCTGACTGGTGCTTTAAAAAAACTTGTTTTTAAAGTATTGGGGTCAGCCAAGTTCTCGATATCAGTCAGTCAACTTTTGACTGCACTGAAGCAACATACACAATTGCCAATATCAAAACAAAAATACCAACAAGAAACTACAGTAACACCAGCAAGTAAGTTACTAGTACAATGAAATAACATTACACTCACACTAGCAGCATATTAAAAGTGGTAGGGCAGTAATTTACACACACTATACATATATAGTAGCAATATAAAACTTTTTTTTTATTGCTAATCCCAACAGATTAAAAAGTTATAAAAGTCATGCCTAAAAGAGTTGTGACAGAGTAAGTTAAAAGCCTGAGCAATTCCTTTTTTAAAAAGTAAGTCTATAACCTTCCTATATATACAGAGCAGGGAAACCCAACTTTGATACTTTTAGGGAGTTTCTAAGGCAAAGGGATTCATTTGCTGAAGTTTCAGCTGAAGTTTAGGCAAGTATGGAGTTTGTTCCATTCTTTTTTGCTAATTTTTTTTGTTGTTCAGTCGCACAGTCGAGTCCGACTCTTCGCGACCCCATGGACCAGATCACGCCAGGCCTTCCGGTCTTCCGCCGTCCTCTGAAGTTTGCTTTTTTTTTTTTTTAGTTGCCATTCATGCATTTCTTGTGTGTCAAGAATAAAGGGTGTGGTGTAAAGAATGGAGTGGGCTAGTCCTGGACACTTCAGAGTGCTTTGGATCCGAGCAAGTGGACTCCTATAATACTTGGCAAAATACCTTTGGAAAAGGAATGAGATTTCAAAAGCTGTTTGTGATATGTCATATTGGTGGGTGTGTGGACCTGTTGTTCCACTAGGAGGGAAGAGCAGCTCACTTGGTACAAGTGAGTGCAAGTAAAGTAGCTCTCTGAATCAGGCCCAGCTATTTATTTAAGATAGTATCGTTTGGATTTATCTGCCTAAAGAGCTCTTCAATTTACATCTGTTTAATTTTACATAAATGTTCTATCATAATATTGTGTGGCAAATTTTATGTGCAAGTTGTGTGGTGCTTATCCATGATGGTATGTTAGTAACCTAAATATCTGAAGAGAGTAAGGCTGTCGAATCGTTTTCTCTCAGAGGCAATATAACTATAATACACTGGGGCAGTGATGCTCTGTATTCTTGGTGCTTGGAGGGCAACAGTGGGAGGGCTCCTGGAGTTCTGGCCCTGCTGGTGGACCCCCTAATTCCACCTGGGTTTTGGCCACTGTGTGACACAGAGTGTTGGGCTGGATGGGCCATTGGCCTGATCTAACATGGCTTCTCATGTTCTTATATATCGTTTTGCAGTTCAAGTAAGAATTTTCTGTGGGGGGGAAAAACCCTGACAAGTGTTCTTTCTTTTCTTTTTTTTAAGAGCAAGGCTTAGATCACATAGCAGAAAATATCCTATCCTACCTTGATGCCAGATCGCTCTGTGCAGCCGAGCTGGTTTGTAAGGAATGGCAACGAGTTATTTCAGAGGGCATGCTATGGAAGAAGCTTATTGAGAGAATGGTACGAACCGATCCACTCTGGAAAGGCCTTTCCGAAAGAAGGGGCTGGTATGTATCTGTGTAAAAACCTGCATGTGGCCTTTCTTCAGACTTAGAGGGTCAGCCAGAAATACACTGGGAACATTTAGGTTTGTCAATACTGGTTATCAGCTTAAACTCTTAGGATGCTTCCTGGTGGTGCTGTTCTTCAACAGTGGTGCAGTTAAGCTAGCAGAAGTATGGAGGTGATTTCTGCAAAGCCCCTTTCCCCCATAGACCTCTCAGTTCCTTGCTTTTCATGAATGATCCCCTGACCCACAGGAGGAGAAAGGGGCTCAGTGGGCTACAGTGGGAGGGGGGATTTCACTTTTCCTATTCTGTTTTGATTTTGGCTTCAGTGTATATGGCAGTGTGTCTGAATGCAAGATGTAACCTTTTCATTTCTCCTCTCTCTCTTTAGGGATCAGTACCTGTTTAAAAACAGACCCACAGATGGCCCTCCCAATTCATTTTACAGGTCACTGTACCCAAAGATAATTCAAGATATAGAGGTATGTCTTTTGACAGCTACCTTTTAAAGTTGCTTTGTGTCTGAAGCTGCATTTCATGGAACTTTAGTGCTTTGGTATATTTTTTGTAAAGTTTTCAGTTTTATGACACTGACCCTAAATGAGGAAGTGACGCCTGATTCAGGAGGGCCGCTGTGATGGAGTGGAGAAATAGAAGAAGAAGAAGAAGAAGAGATTGGATTTATACCCCGCCCTTCACTACTCAAAGGTGTCTCAGAGCGGCTTACAAACTCCTTTCCCTCCCCCTCCCCACAACAGACACCCTGTGAGGTGGGTGGGGCTGAGAGAGCTCTGACACAAACTGCTCTTTTTCAAGGACAGCTGTGCCAGAGCTTGTGACTGACCCAAGGTCACACCAGCAGGTGCAAGTGGAGGAGTGGGGAATCAAACCCGGTTCTCCCAGATTAGAGTCCACACACTTAACCACTGCACCAAACTGGCTCAAACAGTATGAGTTTAAGGGACAGTACTGTAAAACACAGAAGAGAGAGGATTTGAAAGAGATCAAGGCATACAGCATAACATATAAAATGAGCCCGGACCTGGATATCCCAGGAAAGCCCGATCTCGTCAGATCACGGAAGCTAAGCAGGTGTCAGGTCCCCCCAACGACAACGAAGTACACACTTGTAGAAAGGTTTTACTTTTATTGAAGCTAAAGGTGCATTGACAGGAACACTGTTAGGAATGACTTGTAACCAAAGAGCATGTCAGGATATAGTACATTCAAACCACCAAGACCCAATTGTGGGACTCATCTGCGGGATAACCCAAGCAATGTCTTCAGCGGCTCTCCTCCTGCGGCCTTGAAAGATACTTGTTGCTGCAGCAAAGCAATTAAGCTCAAGGAAAGGAATGCGCATGAAACACATTTGGCAGCTTGTCGAAGCTGGCAAGTAGTTGGAAGGGAGACCTCCTTGAAATACCAGCAGTTGGGAGAACAGGGGCAGGCTTTATTCAGCCACCTCTCTGAATATACTCCAGGCCCGCAGTAGGGGTCAGTCACCAGAGGTCGCCATGATTTCCAGGAGCACGCGTGCGCGCGCACACACACACACACAAAATACTATATATGAACAATGGAATTTCAGGAGAAGAAGTTAGCTGGGGGGTACCTCTCCAATTCATTGCCAACCTCAGTTGTGTACATGGGACTGTTTTCGTACCTAGTGGTGGTTCCATTTATTCCAAGGGACCTGAGACCTGTGTGTCCATTGCTGTGTCCTCCAGCATGGGCACAGGAGCGTTGATTGTCTGGCAGAGATCTCTGGCTCTGGGCACTCAGTCTTATTATGAACAGAACAAAGCAAAGCTTTGACATTCACACATCCCTTCCTTAGTTATGGCCGTTTACATAGAACACAGGAGAACTTACATTAATCATTTGAACCTGCCCTGGACCAAGTGGCCATTTCTGTTTAAAATGTTTGGGGGTTTTTTTGAAGCACAATCCTGGATGTCAGAGAATCACATTTATTCTCGGGGGTTTTATTAGAATCACATTAAAACCACTATCCTATTGCAAATCTATTGCAAATCTGTTGCTAATCTGAGTACACAGGGCTCGTAATTTGAAATCATGAGGATTTCTGTTTGACCCTTTGGCTTCTCGGGAGGTTAAAAAAAAAGCACTGATGAGAACAGCTACTTCAGAATTGAGAGAGTAAAGCAGGTCATTCTCGAGGCGTCCCCGTTATGCTTAGATACGTGCATTAGAGGATATATTTAATACTATGCATTTGCATGCCTTTGCTGGTGACATTTTTTTAAAATCCTTCGGCCCTCAGGTAATACAAAGATGTTGGTCAGACCCAAATTATGACAAAACCTGGGGGGAAAGATGTATTTGAAAGCAGCTACCCTAGGTTAATTTAAAGAACTGTAGACTCTGTAATCCAGGGGTACGACTAAACGGGGCTGATTCCTAATTAGTATAAGTCTTTATAAATTTCTTAGAGGCATGAAAAAGGGGTTTTGTTGTTGGTTTTTTACATTTGCATCTTGTGATGGCGGCCCCTACTATTAGGAACATGCAGAGAACTTTCCATTCCAGCCAAGGATCCAAATTCTTAAAAAATGTAAACACTTCCTCCACTTTATGCCACCACATATTCATATTAAGAAATTGAAGGTGTTTATACCATTTTGAGTATTAAAGGCTTCCAAAGACTTCACTACTCTTATAAAAGAGTTGGCATGTGTGTGTGTATATATGCTCATTATAATTACAGAAGAATCAGAAATTTGTATGGTATTTAAAAAGTGATAGAAAGCAGAAAACATATAGAAATGTAGGAAAATATAAAAACTGTCAGGCACCAATCCAGAAAGTATACCCAGAGCTTATTTACAGGAACAGTCCTTTACCTTGCATCTTTTTTTTTTTACAAAATAGCCTCCACCAGATTGGCTTCTTCCAACTTGGAGAAGAAGCAGGAAATTCAGCCATATTGGCTGCATTCCCTAAAGAGCTCCACATTCAAAACACAACAGCTCCTTCAATCTTCTAGCAAGACAACCACTTTTAAGCTTTCCAGAGGACTGAAATCTTTTTCGATTGGCCAGCAAAGGAATAGTTTTAGCCGATGAAAGGGAGTCCATGCCAATCACAATGAGTAATGCAGAGGAAAGTTGATCTGAACCAAGCATCTGTGATGACTGGAACCATTGGAGGAGACTGGATATTGACCATTTGTACCTCTCAAGAGCAGGCAGTAGAGACATTTCACCAATTTGCGAAACATTTAAAGAAACAAGGAATTCATAACCAGGCTGTGAGGCACTAGAGTCAGACAAAGACAAATTTCCACATTCACTTGCTAGTAAATGCATTTCTGACAAAGGGCTTTGGCCTGGCTTCAAAATGGAGTCTGAAACAACTTGCCCAAACTTCAAATATCAATTAAAGAAAATGATACAGTACAAGGTATTTCTGTAACCTAAAGCTCACCGTTTGACAGGGCCGGAAATGCACGCCACTACAGATTGGTGTTTGCTTCAGATCATGATAATGCAAATTTGTAAACGTGATCCTGACAGATATAAGAACACAGCTTTTCAAGGAAGAAATTAGAGCATCAAATTATGGCGAAAGGGCTTTTGGAACTGGATAAATTGCTCTCTGCTTCCAGAACGGCAAATAACAAGAGAGCCATCATTTTTAACAGGAGCCCTCCCCCTTTTGTGTGTGTTCAAAATGGTCAGGTAATTCAAGTAACCTGGATCCATTGCGCTGACCCACCAGAATTCACTCTGCTTTAGGAACCTCCTTTAAAGGCAAAACTAGTTTTGGGTTTGTCCCAGGAAATTTTATTTAGGTATGCAAAACTTGTTTTTGTGGAAATCTGACTTTTGGTTCAGTTAATCATGTGCTTGGACACAGTCCCAAAATATTGTAGTACAATTTGACTCTTCTTAGCAGACTGTGTGAACAGGCAGATTGCCAGGTGGGCTGCAGATTCCCCCCCCCACACTCCAAATCTCTGGGCCTTTTCCAGGTTATTTGTGATGCCAGGCCAACTGTTTAGCTATTCCTTTCGAATTAGTACAGACATAATTTATTCCTTGTGAGCTGTTAAGAAGAATATTTTCTGCTTTCATATCTGAAAATCCATGGAAGCTGCCCCTATCCATGAAAATCCATGGAAGCTGCCCCATGGAAATGCTTTCTGGGTTCCTTTTAAATTAATATCCCCCCACACACACCTAAAGTTTTCTTTTGTGGGCAGGAGGGAGTTAAGGCTGTGAACCATCAAGCGGACTCCGTGTTTTCAGTCCCAAGTAGGAAGAAGGATTTTAAAAGATTCTGTCCTGATTTCCTTGCTTTGAAAGGAGACCTGATTAACAATGGAAACTTTTCATTCAGGTGCTGTTGGGTTGGAATGGTGAGGGAAATAGAAGAGCTGGCCCCTACAATGGACTTGCAGCCTTGTGCATAAATAGTTGAGTGCCTGCTGTGACAAACAGGAGGCCCTCTGGCAGTGCTCCCTCTAAGCTGTGGAGTCTTGTGAGCAGAGATTCTATTTTGTGAGCTACTGGCATTAAAGTTGTGAGCGAGCAATTTGGCTACTGTATACATTCAGGTTAGCTCAATTGCTCCAACCTTAGATGCTCACAAGGCATTTTTTTTGCTGGCTGTTTTAACTTTTGTGACACTTCTTTAAAGGGTTGGATCCTGTAATCTGGTCAGCCTGTGCAAGTCTCTGCTGTTGCAAGAGGGAGGAGGAGGGAGCTCAGCCGCTTCCTCCTCTTCACTGCAGCCATCCCTGTTGCATAGCATTTTCTCCATGATCATTCCCCACCCACTATCCCATGGCATCGCATTTTCTTCATTTACAGATGGTTGATGGAGGCAGGCCCGTAGCTGCGGGGGGGCATTTGGGGGCAGTGTTCCCTCTAAGCTGAGTTAGTGTGAACTAGCTCACAATTTTTGAGCCTCCGGCTCACACATTTTAGTCTCAGCTCAGGAAGGATGGCTCCAGAGCAGTGTTCCCTCTAAGCTGTGGAGTCTTGTGAGCAAAAATTCTACTTTGTGGCCTTAAAGTTGTGAGCAAGCAATTCGGCCACTGCATAAATTAGTTTGCTCTGGAGCCATCCTTCCTGAGCGAAGACAAAAATGTGTGAGCTTGGAGGCTAAAAACCGTGTGAGCTAGCTCACACTAACTCAGCTTAAAGGGAACACTGCCCTCTGGTCCCTGAAGATGAAACAGCCAATCATCTGTTAGTACCTGAGCCTATTTGAATGGTGCCTTTAACATCCAATCACTTTTTAGAGAGCTGATTGAAGTGTGTGTGTGAAAGAGAGAGAGAGATCTGACAATTCTGGCATGCCTCGACAGGAGAGCCAATGGACAGAGTGTAGCTCTGCCTCAGAAGGCACATAGGACTGAGGTCAACTCTACCTCAGGAAGAAGGGGGCAGAGCAACCATTTTGGGCTTGTCCCTGGTGATGAGCAGACCAGTAATGATATAGTCTTGAGGAG